GCACAAACTGGCCCCATCAAACATTAAAAATCTAGCTAAAACCACAAGCAATTTTTAAAAAAACTGAAAAATAAAGAACTGAACCAAACATTGTATAATAAACACTTTATAACTCTAGCGATCATGAAACTCCAGGAAGTTTTGCGAAGATATTTTCAAGGCCACTTACTTTCTTGAAAATCGCGCAAGAACGAATCGAAATCAAAATTCTGTGCATACTGCTGTTGCTCATCGAAGCCCCAAGCACCCGAATCGTACCTCTTCCTTTTCTGCTCATCGCCCAACACTTCGTATGCTGAAAAGAATATCACTAAGAACAACTCACATAATGAACAGGGAGACCGATTAGAAGCATTTTGGGCTTACTAGGTTACGGGACTCGTTACAGGAAAAACAACAACAGTTACAAGGAAACTACCGGGAAAAGCCATTCCCTTTCCAACGTGTACCACTGCAACTGCGATTTAAGCACTGAATCTGAGCGGCAATAAAGAAATCTACCGGGCCAAGCACTTTTTGGCACTGAAACTAACCAAGTGACATCCTCTGATACTGACCGAGAATGTGACCGGAATAAGACTCCATAAACAGACAACTAAAGCATCACATCACTACGGTGGCTTAATATTTTGCACCATTTTTATGCGTTTTTGGCATTCAAGCACTGCAAGAACGCATATTGCCGAGGGGTTGTCTGTGTGTTCATCTGTACCGATTTTTCATCTCGAGACTTACAAAAGCTACAGAAAAGACTGAAACTTTGGGAACTTAATTTAAATCCATGTACGAGCCTCTGTTCCCAAATTGGGAGTTCTTGCCCAACTGTTAACTACGTACGGGACCGTGAAAATTTTTTACGGATAAATTGCTAACTTGGAAGCCTGAAAAGCTAGAAAGCAGGAGTTTTAAGATATTCCCCGTCCACGCAGGCCTAAATGAGTCCAAGCCCAGCCCCCAGATGCGCGTGTTTCTCAGGTGTGGGTCCGTGAAAATTTTTTACGAATAAGCTCGTAACACGGGAACCTAAAAGACTAGAAAGCTGGAATTTCAAGGGAATATTTCCTCACAGTTGTGGTGACTAGTTTCAATTCTTTTAGTTAGAAGCATCTGCTGGGAAAAACAGTGCCATTAGCTATAAAAACTTGCGGGAAACTGTGCAAAAAACGCATCTTCACGGCGGCAGTCGATGTGCTGCCACTACTGCGTTTATACAAATGAAGGCGTTCTCTAATGGCAAAATCATGTCAGTACTTGCGCACCTCAATAATGAATGCGAGAAAGCCGACAGTTTTGTATTTTGATTTTTGATCGTTTGCGATTATCAACGACTTAGTGACACTCACCGCTTTCAAACCACTATTTCAGTCCCAAATTTTGATTCAAGTATAATCTCCTTTTGGCCGGCTACCCGCTTTCACAGAATGTGTTACCCAGTCTGAAGAAGGGGAAAGGACGGATTTCACTTGTAGAGACATAACCCAGGCTGGAACGCACCAGGCTCTCCGGTGCGATC